ATATTTTTATTAAATTTTTGAAAACTATTTTTTACAAAAGAAAAAAGTAGTAAAATAGAAAAATATTAAAGAACTGTATATACAAAATTATGCAAGAATTTATTTTTAACCTTTTAAATTTTTTTTATAAACAAGCAAGGAAGCTTAGTTCGGGTGTAAAGAAACATTTTATCGCAGGAAGAACTTTGTTTATCGGAATGCTGCAAAAGCAATCCAAGAGCGTTATTCGACGCAACACTTAAAAGATTTACAGATATTATAAGTGACGCCTGAGTATATGCCGTTAATATTCAATTTTACCAAATTACATAAAAATTTTGCTCTGTGCGCCTACATCACATTTCATTAATTATGCCGATCAGCTGATCAATTGATGATCACTCCGAAGCGCTTAACTGCAATACATTCTCCGTTGCGTTATATTAATAACATACCATATATATGTATGTATGTATATTGTATATACATATGAAAGAAAAACAACAAAAAATAATTTTGCATCACATTAACACGCCTGCGCATCTAGCGGCATGAAAGCCCCCTGCTGCTGCTACTCAACAGCGAATCATTTAATGCAAACAGCAAATAGATTTCCATCAACTCTTCATGGTTACCTAAGCGCACAGCTAATCATTATTGCCTTTTGTTACCTTTGTATCTCCTCTTCTTAGGTATTTTTGGGCTTTTGTTCAAAAGTAGTTCAAACTCTCTGTATACAGGTACAAATATATTGCTGAGTGTGTGCGTTTATTACAGTTCTATTGTGCGGCATGATAAAGCTTATTAATATTGATTGGCAGTTGAGTCAAAATACTTCGCTAATCTTGCAATACACACGCATACTGACTGAACAGCGGGGAGGGCGTAGTGCTGAAGATCTTTGCAAGGCTTTAAACGTAGCATAGTTTAGTAAATATTTATCGGATGTCATTATTATTACTTTTAATAATTTTTTGCAAGCTGTGAACATTAGCTTTCAAAAGCGAAAAATATTTTCGTTTGACATTCTAAGAATATAGTGAAGTCCAGCCTTAGAATGTGAAAACAAAATATTTTTCAAACAAATTTGTAAGGAATCTCGGAATATATCAAAAATATATATTAAAAAATTTACTTATAATAAATTTTGCAAAGTTGCGGCCCTAGAATATCAATAAAGTTATCAAAGTTGCACTGAAGAAGATGAGAAAAAACATCTAGTTACTTTCTCCTCCACTGTCCAGCTTTCGCCAGACTTAGGTTGAAACATCTCAGTTGCCATATGTTTTTACGAACCCGACAAATTGGCTGGAGTTGATATTAGCCTTCCCAATATACTTGTGCCAACCTTTTGTCGTTATGGAACGATATTTTTTATCTGAAGTTCTTGTTGTCTGGAGAATTATCCTGGAAGTTGTAAGCAGCTCAACGGACAAGAAGCTCAAGTTAATCAAGTGGGTTTATTCGTGATTTCAAGAGAAATCAACCCATTTACCTAATCCAACCTAACCGAAAGACAGATAATATTTTTCTTCAAAAAATTATTTTTTTTTTTATTCAAAAAGATCGTAATCGCGTTCCTGCTTTAATGTTATTATTTTAACAATAATTAAGTTTATAAATAATTATAAGAAAAAATATATTTCGACTGCGTATATTACACTGCGTTATTTACAAATTGACAATAATTTTGATCGTGGCATTGATCTTCATCCTAATATTAAATATTGTTGCACCCAATCTAGATTTTAGACTTATTGCTTCAATCTAGTTCTTGAATATGCTTATTGTTCTGAAACGCATCACGATCTCCATTCTGTTTTGTTTGTTCCTTCTTGACAAGTTTTGACTTTGAGTTTGATAATTTCTTAGCTCGTTTTCGATGTTCTTTCTTAAATGCGATTCCGACTTTGAACTTGATCTCGTCCTTGATACTTTTCAAAAATTGAGATTGATCTTCAAGCTCTTCCAAGAACACAATCTTTACTCTGATATTGATCTTACAATTTATGGCTTGAATTAGATTTTCATTCTGATCTTCACTATAATTTCGATCTTGGCTAATTTTGAGTTTGATGTTGAGCAGTTTTTATATCGTTTTTGATCATGTTTTAATTTTATTCTTAAATGTGATTTTGATTTCTTGATACTTTTCAAGAAAGAAATTGATCTTGATGTTCTTCCAAAATTGCAATCTTTGCTTTGATATTGATCTTTCTACTAATGACCTAAACAAAACTTTCCTCCTGATCTTCGGTCTTGTCTAATTTTGACTTTGATTTTGATAATTTCATATCTGTCGTTTGATCTTTTGTTTTTGATCACTTTGTTTCGATTTTATTCTTAAACGATCTTGATATTTTTCTTCATTTTTATCTTATAGCTAAAGGCCTTAATTTCGATCTTTTTCTTGATTTCGATTTTTTCATTATTTTTATCTTAACATTAGCACTCTTGGCTAATTTTGAGTTTGATGTTGAGCAGTTTTTATATCGTTTTTGATCATGTTTTAATTTTATTCTTAAATGTGATTTTGATTTCTTGATACTTTTCAAGAAAGAAATTGATCTTGATGTTCTTCCAAAATTGCAATCTTTGCTTTGATATTGATCTTTCTACTAATGACCTAAACAAAACTTTCCTCCTGATCTTCGGTCTTGTCTAATTTTGACTTTGATTTTGATAATTTTCTATCTCGTATTTGGTCGTGTTGTTTCGATATTCTCATATACACATGCGATCTTGATTTGGAACTCGCTCTTGTTTTTTTATTTTTTTATTTTTAGATGATGCTCTTCGAAGAACATAATCTTTACTTGATTTTGATCCTTCCGTTAGTATTGATAGCTTAGACTAAATCAGTATGAAGTTTTAATCATAGCTTCGATATTGGGGTCGCCGACATGACTTTGATTTTGATAATTTCATATCTGTCGTTTGATCTTTTGTTTTTGATCACTTTGTTTCGATTTTATTCTTAAACGATCTTGATATTTTTCTTCATTTTTATCTTATAGCTAAAGGCCTTAATTTCGATCTTTTTCTTGATTTCGATTTTTTCATTATTTTTATCTTAACATTAGCACTCTTATTATTAGCTTCTTCTTCATCGTTTCTCAACTCAATATTGCTTTACGTCTTGATCTTGTTGTTTTTGTGTTATTGTAAGGCAAACTGAAGATTTGTTTTCACTTACAACGACAAATCTGAGCATCGTCATGCTCTTTACAACACACTTATTCTACTTTGAGAGTGCTTCCTGAAAACCTAACCAATAAAGTTTTCTCAAATAAATCAAATATTTTTTATTTCCTCTTAAATTTTCGGGTTTGTTGGTTTTTTTTTTTTGTTTTTATTTTTTTTTTACTTGTCATTTTTTCGGACTCACTATTGAAGCAATACCTTTGCAGCTTGCGGTGCTGTCAGCTTCATTTTTCTGTGACGGCAACTCAATAACTATCGATTTTCACACTGCCAGAGCCGAGACATTTCATTTCACTTCTATTATTTCTGCTCTTTCACAAATTGTTGGTGTGGTAATTGATGGCGCCAGAGCTGTCAGCGCGTGATTACCGTACCAACAACTAATTCAATGCCGGTTATAAAAGAAATGACAATAAATATGTTGATGATATTTTTAGCAATCAGCCAAAGTCGCATCGCAGCTCATCTCTGTCGTGCTTGCATTGAATTTATTATTGCAAAAATAAAAATCCGAAAACCAAACTAAAAAACTAGATTGTCATATTTAATTTATGCATGCAGGAAGCAATTGAAATGATGGGAACACGAATGTACAATTTTAAGCCGAGGCAAAGATGCTGGGAAGATGTCAAGAAGAAATTTTGTGAAGAAGCTTTGGAGTCAAAATATGTGTGTGTTTGGTAGTAAAAATCTGAGTTATCCAAGAAAATCAGCAAACTGGTTTGCAGTTCTTGAAGGAAGTCTCGCAATGAAAAGTGCTCCACTCTCTATAAATCTATCCTCACTGTGTCTTTCCTATCTTTCTCTCACTCTCTATCTCTCTGTCTAATCTTCGTTAAGCTGGTCAACGATAATTTCTTCTTAATCAGAAACTGTCCTCACTATAAATATCTCTAATTTTTCGGTCTATATCTCTCCACTCTCGATCTCTCGCCATTTTCATCTCAATAACTCTCTCTTTCTCTCTCTTTTTGTCCCTCTATCTCTTTCTCTCTATTGATCAACCAACTAGATCGACACTTTGGCTTGGTTGTCTATTAACAAATAACCTTCTAGTTCATTTTTGACCATGCTCCTTTATACAAAGTGCGTTCCAAAGTAAACAGGACTTTTTGAATTTATTCGTAGGACGATTATTAGAACAAAAATCACATTTTAACCATTAACTACTCCCCGTATTCACCTGATATGGCACCGTGTGACTTCTTCCATTTCAGAAAAATGCATTTGACCATGAAAGGAAAGTGTTATGCAGACATGGAGGTCATTCAAATAAAATTCATTCAGAAAGAGACAATTTTTAATAAAATAAATTGAATTTTTTAAAGTCCTGTTTAGGTTGGAAAGCACCTTGTATTTCAAAACCATTGTTCGAAAATTAAGCGGTCTGTTACTCAAGCCGATTTTTTATTATTCCTTTTCATATTTCGAAAACACTGTTCGAAAATTAAGCGGTCTATTACTCGAGCCAATTTTTGATTGTTGCTTTTTATATTTCGAAAACCGTGACCGAAAATTTAGAGGTCTCTGTTTGTTTTGTTAAAATGTTTTTATTATAGTATATGAATAACTCTGTAAATGACTAAAATTTTAGATATATATAACAATTGAAAATATACGCAATACATTCCGCCTAAAGGTAGGCCACGCGCGCGCATAGTAACCGCTGTTGCTTACTTTTGGGCATACGTTTTTGAAATCGGATACGCCAAAGTATGTGTAGCAACAAATTTATGGAATTGTTTTTGTTGTTGGCGCTTATGTTGTTGTTGCATACGCAACATCACCCAACTGGGTATATACGAGTCCAATAATGAGATATGTTGACGTTTAGCGAAAATATCTGGAAATTGTTTGAGATTATTTTCGTCGGTATCAGCACTACGCTGCCTCATATTGTATGGTGGTGATTGCGTTGTTGTCGTACTGGTAATGCTGATAAAAGACGGTGGATAGGGTAATTGGTTGGTGTAGACTAGTGTGTCCTTTTCAGGTTGTCGTTCAGGCGCATGCAATAGCTGATTGGAATGACTTCTATGTTTGTTAGTGGTCTGTGCGGTGCTCGCTGCGACTCCTAATTGGTACTGGGGTAACGCTTCTCTGGCGTATACAATTTCTGAAGCCAAGGGTGGACGTGACGCTTGGCTGATTAGGTTTTGAGGCAGTTGATACGCGTTTGTTGGTAAACTATATTGGCTAGAAGTAGTAGTAAAGTAAAAAATAAAAAAAAATATTTTAGTGAATAAAAAATGTAAAAAGAAGAAAAAAGCTTAGCGACAGATTTAACAAGGTTAACTCTTTAAAAATTTATCTAGTATTCAAAATTTAATATTGTGGCTTTAAACACTTTTGTGACGACTAACAGCAGCTGACGACTTTTCTGGGCCTCGAAACAATTTTCAGGTTTGCAGTTCTCGTTGCATTATCATCGTGTAAAATCCGTGAATTTTTCTTCCACAATTCCGGCCGTTCTCGACGGATGTTCTAACGCAAACACCTCAATGCGGCCAAATAGAACTCCTTATTGGCCACCTGACCCGCGGAAACATATGCATAATGCTACTACGAACATCCCAAGTAACAATGAGCATCACCTTGATTTTTGAGCGGGTTTGGCGTGCTTTTTTTGGTTTCGACTCGGGTTTTTACCTTAATTCCGATGATTATTGACTTGTTTGCATGTATGTCTATATGAACTCCGTGGTTACCTATTCAAGCAGGGAGGTCACGCGAGGGTTGAAATAAGTCCTTATGGATGCTTAGCCTATTCGGTGAGATGTCACTCTTATCTACTGAAGTGACAGAATGCTGCTCTCACCAGCTCTTTGTCATCTGTCTCTTATACACATCTAGATGTGTATAAGAGACAGATATGAACTCCGTGGTTACCTATTCAAGCAGGGAGGTCACGCGAGGGTTGAAATAAGTCCTTATGGATGCTTAGCCTATTCGGTGAGATGTCACTCTTATCTACTGAAGTGACAGAATGCTGCTCTCACCAGCTCTTTGTCATAACTAATCCATTTCGGGTTTCCGTATACCATAATCCGAATTGTACTGATCTCGATTTTGTTGGGCCGGGGGTTTCGTAAAATCTTAACAACATAACATTTGATCATCTAAAATCATGCCAAACGACACACTGTGCGCTCCCCAGCTGTTCAACATTGTAAGTCACTTAATCTGTTTATTGCGATTTTCCTACCCGGAGCGCATTTCACCGTTTAATTATTTTCTCTGTCTAAAAAACAATTGCAATTTCTTATTACACATTTTTTGTGCGCTTTAATTATTTTTGTGTATTTTTTTTTTAATGCTTTTATTATTAATGCCGCCCGCCGCGTGCTGCTAATAAATGGCTAACCGCATTATTTTGTAACGGTATGTTGGCATATTGCGGCTGCTGCATGCGCATGTCTAACAATTACTCACTCGCTCAGTCAATCAGTCAGCCAGTCAGTCATTTGGTTGTTGTTTAGGCGCATACCACATGCAGTGACACAGCGCATTTGAATGCATTCGAAACAATTATAACTTTCAGAACAACAACAGTCATTACAAATATGTGTTACTAACAATGCAATTATCTAATAATTCGTTGTTGTAATGTAAGAAATAAATGTGTATGTGTGTGTGTATCTATGTCTAACTGTGCCCCTTGTGGTGGCACGCATGCGCTGTAACGCATCAGCTGGTGTTGTTGCTGTCAGCTAGATTGACAAATGCCAATTGCAGCAATTATTGCGCTTCTCTGTGAAAAGTAGAAATATTGAAATGCTTGCGCACGCGCATGTAAAGTGCAATTTTAATTTAAAAAAAAATTGATATTTTAAAAATTGAATTATTTTTTAATATATTGTGAACATCTTTTTTTATGTAAATTTTAACAATAATCCGGTATTTTCACTTAATGTATATATTAACTAACTATATTCACTTAATTTATAATTAAGTGTACAAT